CCTTTATTATAATTAATATAATCTGCCACTTCATCCATATTGCATTTGGTTGATGTGGTTCTTTTTTTTTTTTCTGGTCGGTCATGGGGTCTGAACTCCGGGCCTAGGCACTGTCCCTCAGCTCTTCAGCTCAAGGCTAGCACTCTACCACTTGAGCCACAGTGCTACTTCCTTGATGTGGTTGGTTCTTGAGTCTCTTAGTTTACAGGTTCCCCTCTGTCTTTCCGCCCTCTCCCACCCACTATTTATTTATCATGAACACTGCATTATTTGTCTGGAGAGTTTCCTGCAGACTGGATTTTTTTTTTTTTGCCAGTCATCATGGGGTTTGAACTTTAGGCCTGAGCACTGTCCCTGAGTTCTTCAGCTCAAAGCAAGTGTTCTACCACTTGAGCCACAGCACCACTTCCAGTTTTCTGGTTATTAATTGGAGAGAAGAGTCTCATGAACTTTCCTTCCCTGGGCCAGTTTTGATCCTCAGATCTCAGCCTCCTGAGTAGCTAGGATTATGGGCTTGAGTCACCTGTGGTTGGCCAGACTGGATTTTACTGATTGCTCACGGTGGTCTTGGGGCCTTGTGTTTCCTGTAATTAGCTGACCAATGGGAAGGCTTCATCACTAGATTGTGTCTGGGGCCCTGGTTCTCAGGGGCCTCAGGCAGCGCTGTCTGATTCTCCACCATCAAGTTCCCCAGCAACTTTTCACTTAATATTTTCAGCAGCCACTGATAAGCATTGCTTACACCCCTAATTGCATTTTACATATAATCCACAACCTATCATGGCCTCCAGCACTCTGTGTGGTCTGCTCTCTGTTGACATGTCCTGGTCTCATACAGTGTCACTCATCCTATCTCTCTCTTTCTTTCTTTCTTTTTGGGTCTGGTTGTGGGGCCTGAACTCTGGGCCTGGGCGCTGTCCCTCAGCTCTTCAGCTCAAGGCTAGCTCTCTACCACTTGAGCCACAGCACCACTTCCAGCTTTTTTCTTTTTGCTTATGTGGTGCTGAGGAATCAAACCCAGGGCCTCAGGCATGCAAGGCAAGCTCTCTACCACTGAGCCACTTTCCCAGCCCCCCTATCTCTTTCTTTTTGCTGTTGTTAGGGCTTGAAGTTAGGGCCCTGCTCTCTCACTTGGCTTTTCCACTCCAGGCCAGCACTCAACCATTTGGGCCACAGCTTCACTTCTGGCTTTTATTTGGTGGTTAATTGGAGATAAAAGTCTATTAGACTTTCCTGCCCTGGCTGATTTGATTCATGATTCTCAGATCTCAGCCTAAATAGCTAGGATTTCAGAAGTGAGCCATTGGCACTTGGCATAACTTTCCTGTGCCCATGATGCTCTGTCCACATTGACATTCTCTTGGCTTCAACACACTCTTGCTTTTCCCAACCCCAGGGCTCTTCTTTTGGCTGTGAGTTTAAACGTTGCCTTCTCAGAAAAGGCCAACTTGACTACTCTAAATAAGCGTCCCATAATTGTCTGTCCAAGTGTCCTGCGGACACTCTTCAATCCGTCAATATTTTGTTTTCAGGATGACTATTCCCCCCTACCCCCAACCCCCACCCCGTGCTTAAGAGTTAGCTCCTGGAGAGCAGGGATCTCCCTTGTCATCTTATCATTTACTGCCTCAATGAATTGTGATTCAATACACAGTCAATGATAATGAAATGAATTAATATTTGTAGGAAGCAGGAAAGGAAGGAAGGATGGATCCTGACACCAGGTGACACCAGAGTCCTGCACAAAGCATCTGTGTTCTCCAGGCTCTTCTAGAAAGAACCCCCAGGAAAGCCATCACTTATCACAAAGTCTGGTGGGAGGGCTCCCCAGGCAGCTTGCTTTGCTGATCCTCAAAATCAACACTGAATGAATCCCCACAATTGGGGGAACTTGTGGCTGCAGAGAGATAGGGAAATTGCCAGAACCTTTTAGGCTGCATGCCAGCCCATCTGCTTCCCTTGATGGCTTCCCTTGGCCCTCAAGCAGCTCATTCTCCTTGCCCTGTGTCTCTGGTGTCTTACTGAGCCTAGACATTCATTTCTTGACTTAACTCAGTATCCCTCAATGCACACTGGTCATTTATTATTTATTTTTGAGACAAAAGCCTAGGTTGGCCTAAGCTAGCTTGGAACTCACAATTCTCCTGCTTATGCCTACTAAAGGCTGGGATTACAGAGGTGCATCACAAGGAAAAACAACTCCTTCCTGTTCTTGGAAGCTTCCCGCTGGCACTCAAC